TCTTGCATGACGCCGTTGCACGAGAATACCCTACCTATAGGCTCTCGAGCCATGGCACACTTGAGGGACCTCCGGCTTACCAAGTACGTGCCTGTCTGCATGTATCGCGTATAACTTCGACCGTCTTTGCGAATCGGATCACTTCACGGTACCTTTGCTTGATTACATACAGCCATAACCGAGCTCTCCTCTAGACGGTAATCATAGGCCAAGCCGGAGATACCTCCCTGCCTTCCATGGTATCCTTTCTTGTGCAGCTTTGGCAGGCCAGCCAGGGCCCTTCATACCCCCCTCCTCGAGCATACGCAGTAGATAGGTAGGACTGCCCAACAGTCTGGCCGCTCGCTTCTTCCCGCCGTCAACGGAATTGACGAATCGTCTCTGAGCTGCTTACAAGCGATCTGATAAAAGATAGCGGTGACCAAGCGGCCTCCGGGCGGCGATGGATCACGGTATTCGATGAGGAATTAACCAACTCATCTCCGGACTATCAAAGACCTACCCTCACTGAACTACCCCTAGCACCCTACGCTAACAGCGTAGCGGCTACGTTGAGTACTCTTCGAGAGGCAACTATGTGAGTTCATGAATCCACAGCTCGCCAGTTAGTGGGGGGAGTGACAGGCCGCGTTTCCTCCCAAGACATTGTCTCAGCATTCTAGATCTGCGTCGCTGTACTCCGCACGCATACATGGCAGTATCTGTATATGACGGCGTTCGGATAGAAACTGGTTGGCTCGAAGGGACTAGACCAATGGACACAACGTATCGATTTACCTAACGATGGTCGTTGACCCCTCATTTTTTTCTACCATCCTACCTGCAGTCGGCTACGTCTGGTGATGGTGTGGCACTTGCTGGCATTCTTCGAAAAAAGCCACCCAAGAAGAGATCTCGAACGCTTTGACTGGGATCAAGGGCCAAAGAAGCCTGATGAGAACAGAACTACAAGCCTACATGGTAAGGCAAGTTTACTGATCCCTAGTATGAACTATACAGACAGCCTCTTCGAACTCCATCAAGTAAGACGGCCAAAAAACTCGAAACTACTAAAACCAAAACCTTGATCACCTCTCGTGGACCGTGCCCAGAGACCTCCCGGCTTTGTAGGGTTAACAAAGCATCAAGGAATCCCGTGGATATATGACTTGGCCTCGAGCGAGACAGAGACAAACCTGCGCAGTAATAAAGAGGGCCCGGATATAACCAACATGTGGGGACAAGTTCTTTCTCTACAATGTAGGAATTGACCAGGTTTTCTATGTACAGCTATAACAACCTGACCAATTCGTCCTTGGCCACTTTGACCTGATCAGCGAGCACATTTATTGCGCTTTTGGCAAACCTACCTACCATCCTCCGGATGCTTCCCCGATCCCTTCTCATGTCGCTCGGGGCAGCACAAAGAGACAAGTCAAGCACACCGTACGTTTTCCATCTCAGCATGGGACCACTAGAATTGCACAGACGTTACACTCACTACGCCATAGGCAGGGAGGGGGCTTGGATGGGTGCTACCAAACATGCCACTGGACGGATGGACGCCACAGTCATGGCTGTCTACGTACCAGTTGAAACGACACCTCTGTTTCTCTCTCGAAACATCACAAACTACCGTAAGCCGCTGTGATAATATGGTTTACAAATGTCCATAAAAACTTAAGACGCTGGTGAGAATCAGAGATGGCATCCAACCACTGGAGAGATTGCCTCTTTATTGTTGAAGAGCAGCGGTATCACGCTCTGACTTTGTCCTCGTGATTCCTACAATGTTAAATTAGCATTGGTAACTATTGAAGAACCCTCAACGATCATCTCCCATCACCTTCGACTAGCCAATGCAAACTCTTTGATGACGAAAACATGCCAGGATGTCTACGGCTCGAAGAGAACCTACCTAATGGGGCGACCGTAAAAAGACTCCTTTTCCGTCCGGAGAATGTTGCCCAATCTACAAAAAATTGGTTAGTAAATGGTAAATGGTGACAAACTTGAATCAAGACCCACGTTGGTGGCAGATCGGACCCGAGGGATGCGATCTACCCATTCTCCCTACTTCCCCGCATTCATGAAGAAAAGCCCTTCCCGAAGGAGAGTTAGTTTGATGGGCTCAATGGGGAGGATCACTGACATGCGTGAGTGGGCACGTGATGACCATGACCAAGAATGATTACTCGTTCGTTTGTCTACTTGTCATCGATCTGGCAAAACAGCATGCTGGAGGGGCTAGTGAATGGTGACAAGAAGAGAAATCCAGATTGGGAGATGGCTGTCATAAACATATTGCTGCCATAAACATCCCGGCAAGACATCCTGCAGACACTCAACGAATGTAGTCCTGACAGGTAAAACACAGGACTTGCCTCCGGTGATACCAGCTTACACAACACTAGGCAGTACTAGGTGGAATCTGATCCCTTTCTCTACTGTGAATGTTGACAAAGTGTTGACAAATGAGGGCACTTGACCAATATTATCAATGACAACGTGACAGTCTGTTGCCGCTTCAAACAAGTTTTATCTGATCGAGAGAAAGACTGACCTATCATCCAGCTTTTTGACAACATTGGACAGCTACCAATCTTATGTGACTGATTGGTGCGTATATGCCTCTAGACTGGTCGAGGTCTGTAGCCCAATCCGATTGACGTGAACAGGAAGAAGCTGCTTCAACAGCCCACGAGTCGGTGATAAGAATCTCAACATTTGTCAGGAAACTTGACTGTTGTTGAGATCCGTATCTGGTCTTGTGAGATCAGAAATGACGAGTTTTCGATATCAGCCATGCTCCCCTCGAGCTATAGCGAAAGTGACTCGGTCGACTCGTCCAGGCCATACTCCGGCGAGACAAAGCGTTGGGCATGAGGTTGAAAATCGAAACTGGTTGAAGCAGACCAAGGAAGGTGCGGTGAAGTTGTGTCTTCCAAGAAAAGCTGAGAAAGGTCATAACTTCCTTCCCAAATGGAATCACAAGTGTAGTGCCGCAATTTCCAAGACCCGCACACAGATGGCCAACAAAATTCCGACGGGAACTTCTCCTCGAACCTGGCGCTCCAAGTCACACTCCAGCTCTTATCTTCTCTGCTGCGTATTCCACTGGTCCCTGGTCACTCGGCAGCTATCCCAACTATCCAGAACTTGATCGACTTTTGTGCCCCCGAAGACACACAAAGGTAGGAGCTGAGCCACACTCCTTTTCGACATATGACTGACATTCCATTACGAGTACGCAGAGAACGAGGCAAACAGCTCCAAATCGAAATCGATTGAAGGTCCCTCTCCCGACATCCACTTGAAATGCGCCGAATGTGCTGTGGTTCGTCCCGTCCCGTTTGTTGCACTTGCGCTGGTCCCAAGCCGGCTTCGCTTCTCGCCTTAACTCCCGTCGCTCCAAAGCCGCGAATACCACTTCAAAGTCGGCATCTGCGCCCTGGAAATTCGTACATTGCGCTTGTTTTCCATGGCAGTGTCGAAGATGAGAACAGGCCCATCCTGGATGTGATTGCCAGATATTGAGGTTCAAGCAAACTTGTCAAGAGCAGAAAAGCACAACCCAAGCGGGCTTGTTGATCTTTAAGAGTCCGGGGGCTCCTGTCCAACAGCTACAGTGGGTAACATAAAAAAACGCCCAATTGTGTTTTTCCCCGCAAAAAACGCCAAACTCCCCACATTGATACAGTAAGAAACAAACCAATTCAAAAGATATTAATAGGATTCAACGGTCCAGGCCACCTACGCCAGTGTTTGTTGGTGATGATGGGCCATTCAGGGGCATCAACACAGTGGAGGCTTGCCAAGCACGGACGCCATGTCAAATCGACGATCAGGGCGAACCGCAGAGGACGACCTGGATGGGCTGAAGTCTCACCTACGGTGGGCAGCTGGCTGTCATATCAAAAACATACAGCTTCAGCGACTACGGCCAAGCAAAAGCTTCATGTTTGCAGTCACTTGCCGGCCCAACCTTTTGGACATTTCAAAGAGTTCGTCGGCCAACCCGGAGTGTTGGCAAGATCTACACACGTTTTATCCACCACACAGATTACACACTGTTGACCTGCGTCTCGGTTCACTATCATCTCTTTTAATCTTATTATTGCTATCGGGAAACCCCGTTGCTTGGTGTTTGGTTACCTTTCGGTTGCTCTGAAGCCCAAATGCGGAATAGTGTCGTGGCATAGGCTGTCGGCCTTACGCGCTTGCTCATATGGGAGTTGCTTATTCCGATATTATGTGTGACACCGTGACCGCAGCCTAACTTGAAATGTCAAGTCAATAATGGTAAGATACTCGGCCCCCATGTCTCCATTCAAAGCGCGAACGACGACAATGGAACTTTCCTCGCCTGAACTCACTGCAGAGAACTTCATCCTCCTCATCTTCTCTCATCTGTGGGAATCGGACCTTGCTACGCTCAACGGCTACTAAACAAGCGTCACCGGGACGCTGCTTCTACCCTTGCCCTCGTCGAGTTACCCGCCATCACTTCTAGGACCACTTAGACTACATCCTCAACCTTCCAACGGAACCGCGATCCAATCCACGACGCCTTGAGTCGAGACCCTCTTCAACACCTACGGGGCAACCTGTTTTCTGTTTTTTCAAATCCCCGAGGATAACAAGGCAGCCAAACAAAAGGAAGTCTGGGAACGACGTCCTGAATGAGCCGTCACAACTGCAACCTTATCTTCCTCGCTCGTGTCCCGACTTACTAGATTTTTCAACCTCGCGCTTATTCGAGGTCCGTCAAGGCGAGCTGCTTCTCAGGTGAGATTTTCCGTATGATTCCTCTCGATACCGTGCGCTATACAAACACCTCCGTTCCGCCTTTGCCGCTTAGTGTACCGCGATCCAAGGTTCCGAATAGCGATTGTCTCACAATGCAAGCGCGGTCGTTATCTTGAGCGACTCAATCTTATCTCCCAGAAAGCAACAGTTCGGATCTGCATGGAAAGCTGAAGTGTTAGTCGAGAATATCTGCTGATTTTTGGTTCGACGATAGCCGCGTACCCCGCCAACCGCATCAGTTCATTAAACACCAAACACTATCCCGTTCGGACCTATCGCGATATCTCCACCCTGCCACTATGACTTCTTCACTGCCTCTCCAACCACTCGCAACGTATGCTGAGGATCCTCACTCTGGTCCGGACAGCAACCCTTTATCCACTCTGAATCTTGAAATTCTTAAGAGTCTCTCAGACAAGAAAACGAGAGGTGGGTAGCAGTTATCAATATGGTCGCTATTTGTTGATACAGACCGGGCTGATTGTTTCGGGTGTATAGATGGTCAACCACCGAAAAGGCGAGGCCCTAAGCCAGACAGCAAGCCAGCACTCACACGACGCCAAGAGCTGAACAGACAGGCACAACGGTATGCTTCTCCAAATGTCCGCCAAAGCCCAGATATGTGCTGACTTGTTACGAAGAACACATCGCGAACGAAAAGAGCTATACATCAAAGCTCTCGAAGATGAGGTCCTGCGTCTCAAAGAAATCTTCAGCACCATCGCACAAGATAAGGAGCGTCTCGCCGAAGAGAACCGGCGCCTCAAAGCCAAGCTAGCCCAGAACGACGCGGCCGGTGATCCAATTGCCGCCGACACAAACTTCTTCGACCAAATGGTTAGCAGTCCAAGTGGCCCGAGTCTTGGATACACTTCCAGATCCAGTATATTGGGCAGTGGAAGCTACCTACCAGGGCCAGCATCCAGCCAAACGAGTGCTCCTGGCTTCCCATCACCACCACCATCGACGACGATGACTTCGCCGGTTTACCGCCCACCCCCTGGAGGACCGAGAGACTTCAACACCATTTTGGGAGATGGCGCAGGTGTTCTGGCACCAAAGAGGAATCCAGATATGGATTATGATCAAGCCGGTATTGATTTTGTATTAACGTACGAGTTCCCACCTCTTTCGAATCCCCATCAGTAAAAGACAAAGGAGAAACGGACATTCGTGTGCGTGCGTCTTCAATGTTGGAGATTTCGAAAACATTCCCTCACACGAGAGTAAAGGGAAGGGAAAAAGCAACTAACAAGTGCCCCTTGGTTCTACCTTTCTTAGACTCGAGCGCCCATGCATGGAACACATGACATGGCTACTAGAACGAGGTGCCGGCACCGAAGATAGAGCGCAGCGACAGCCCTGCGGCCACGCACTCATGGCTTCTTGTCCTCCCGAGCCTTTCTCCGAACTATCGCCAGAGAGCCCTTTCGGGTACGCCAACATGCCGAATTTAGCCATTGGCGGGAATAGCAGTGGCGACGGCGGTGCCAATACGCCCATCGGGCAGCAGCACGTCCACGCTCATGCTCACGGTCATCCCCCGATGCCTACTAGCATTAGTGGTGGTGGTCAGCGCACATGGGAACTCAGTAAGGCCGACTTGGCTACACTGCTCGACCTCAGCAAGCGACTGGATCTCGACGGGGAGATCACGCCTGTCATGGCGTGGGGAATGGTCCTCGCTCATCCGCGGCTTGCGGAGTTGCAGCTGGAGGACTTTGCGCGGCTGTCCGAGGAGTTGGGGAGCAAGGTTCGGTGTTACGGGTAAGTTCTGCCTCTCCCTCGCCATCTGTGACCGAAGTGCTTTCATTGGTCTTTGTCGAAAGTCAAGGTCCGATTTGCTAATCGCTTCTCTTTGGCGTGGTTGTAGGTTCGGAGCTGTGATGGAGGAGTTTGAGGTTAGGGATGCGCTCGAGAATCTGTTTTCGACAGAGCCGGATGGAGGGGTTTTTGAGGATTTTTGAGAAGGAGATCGATTGGGCCAACTCGGTGAATTTGGGTATTAAGGAAAAGAGGATGGTGTTCGGACATTCAAGAGCTGGCCCTGCCGAATATGATAGCTGGTCAGGAAGACTGAGGAAGAGGCCTTTGCAGGTGTCTTTCCGTGAACGCGGCGTTTATACAATCTAAAATACCCGTTATCACTCGAGCTCTGTCAGATAATCCAATCTGGGGCATCATAATGTTCAAGACTTTGGAAAAGAACATGGAAGAATAATACTAGCAACGGCGGGCAAGGTTCAACAGGGGATGTCAAAGAAAGATGTTCCGGAAATGGTGACAACATGAAGCTGCGCTTGCTAGGTTGAACACGGTGAACCTGCTCACCTGCAATGCGCGGGTTTGATTGGCCACAGCCTTCTCGGTGAACCCCATGTCCGCTACGGTAAGGAGCTCGCGGGAGCCCCACAGCACACAATAACCCCACCCTGCGAATTTCTGAGTTTTGGGGCAATTTGCTGCACGGCCGGACAGCAGAATTCCACAGCGAGACAGCCCCGGCGAATTCGAAGCAACCCCTCCGAGTCCTGGGTCCTCTTTTTATTTTATCTTTCCAACTTACGGATTCCGATATCGTTTCGTCACCCACACACGACAGCAACCATGACGAACCCTACTCCCGGCCTTTCGGGCCTCGTCGACCTCATCGACTCCCTCCCCGACCTGGGTGCCACTTGGGGCCCCGCCGTCACCACCGAGACCACTCTGAATGGCGTCCCCTACGCCCCCTACTCCAAGGGCGATAAGCTCGGTCGCATGGCCGACTGGACTGCCGACTCCAAGGACGGCCGTGACGGTCGCGGTGGCCGCCAGCAGTACAACAGGAACTTCCGTGGTACGTTATCCTACCCGGTCTCTGTCCTTTCCATGACCCTTTCGAGCTTTGGATGGGAGCGATTATGTTTGCTAACTTTCGACTCTAGACCAGCAGATCTACGGCGCCGGTTCCACCTCCATCTTCGCTCCCCCCGTCGCCGAGGACGAGTCTTCCTTCTCCGTTGTCTCCAACGTCAGGGATACTGGCAAGACCCGCTTCGGTCGTGGTGCTGTCTTTACTAGAGGCCGTGGCCAACGCGGCGGTGCTGGCGCCCAGGCTGGCAGGGGTGGTGGCCGTCAGACCTTCCAGAGGACAGGTCGCGGTGGTCAGCAGTACGGTGGTGGCTACGACGGTGGCCGCGGTGGCCGCCAGAACACTGGTGCTCGCGGTCGTCGCTTCGGCTGGAAGGATTATGACAAGCCCCAGCGCAACCGTGATGCTTCGATCAACATCAAGGGTGACTGGAAGCTGATTGAAGAGATTGACTACAACCGTCTCAGCAAGCTCAACCTCGAGACCGACGAGGGTGAGGATGTCGATGACTACGGTTTCCTCTACGCCTACGACCGCTCCTACGACAAGCCCGTGGTCAAGAACGCCGAGCGCAGGCTCACCGCCATCGACCGTGCTGCCTACAACGTCACCACCTCTTCCGACCCCGTCATTCAGGAGCTCGCCGAGAAGGACGAGGCCACCATCTTCGCCACCGACAACATCCTCTCCATGCTCATGTGCGCTCCCCGCTCCGTCTCCCCTTGGGATATCGTTATTTCCCGCCAGGGCAACAAGGTCTTCTTCGACAAGCGCGACAACGCCGCTCTCGACCTTGTCACCGTCAACGAGAACGCCGCCGACGCTCCGCTCGACGCTTCCGAGGGTTCCAAGGATGGCATCAACCAGCCCCACGCCCTTGCCGAGGAGGCCACCTTCATCAACCACAACTTCGCCAACCAGGTCGTCGTCGAGAACGAGTCCGAGAAGGTCAACATGGCCCACGAGAACCCCTTCTACAACGCCTCCGACGAGAACGTTCCCCCTGCCTCCAAGGCCTACAAGTACCGCCGCTTTGACCTCTCCACCAGCGAGGAGGAGTCCGTCTTCTTGGTTGTCCGTACTGAGATCGACGCTGTTCAGAAGAACGCCACCGACGGCAAGAACCAGCTCGTCACCGTGCACGCCCTCAATGAGTGGGACAGCAAGGCCCAAGGAGCCGGCGGTGCCCTCGACTGGAGGACCAAGCTCGCTTCTCAGCGTGGTGCCGTTGTCGCTACTGAGATGAAGAACAACAGCTGCAAGCTCGCCAGGTGGACTGTCCAGTCCATTCTCGCCAAGGCCGACGTTATGAAGCTTGGGTAAGTTTTGCATCATTGCTACCATGATGATAAAAACTCGATACTAACCACTTTTACCCCCGATAGTTTCGTCTCCCGCGTTAACCCCAAGGTCAACGACAAGCACGTCATTCTCGGCGTTGTTGGCTGGAAGCCCAAGGACTTCGCCAACCAGATGAACCTCCAGCTCTCCAACGGCTGGGGTATTGTCCGCACCATTGCCGATATGTGCCTCAAGTCCGAGTCTGAGGACGCCAAGTTCGTCCTCGTCAAGGACCCCAACAAGAACATCCTCCGCCTGTACGAGGTCCCCGCCGGCAGCCTCGACGAGGAGGTTGAGGAGTTGGACCAGGTCGAGGAGGAGGGTGAGGAGGCTGAGGAATAGAATACCTTTGGGGGTATGAGACGGGAGGCTATTGCTGATGAGGAATAGAAAGCCGCCATGATGCAAATTGTGTGGGAAGATTATGAATATGTGGGGATCTGAGCAAGTGCGATATGCTCTCCCCGGAAACGATGGGAAGCGGAGAATAAAAGCAGTTTTATTTTTCATTTAAAGAGCGTTTTTTGCTACTTGTGTTTCAAGGTATACGGTTGGTTTCTTTCACGGGCGTTCATGAACCAAAATTGTCACTTATGGCAGGACTTTATTGGTTGTCTTGAGAGGAAAGCTTGTCTACGTTGACGAGACCTGACACATGGGTGTGGCTCGCGTAGCGTACATAGTCCAGGTACTATGCAGCGGCTTATGATAGCAGGGAAATACCGGTAGACAAAGGACTCCATAGTCTTCAGAGTATGAAAGAATAGCCGATATTTGGGTAATGAACAACATTCGTACATCAATTCAACCGTTTTGATTTTAGTATTCCTTTGTTACAGGAGCACTTTACGCTCACGTGACTTCGCGACGCATTTTGGCGTTTGTCGCTTGCTTCACTCAGATTTGCCCCTCGCGTTCTTTCCCGCGCCCGTTTGCTGCCCGCTTGCAGATGCATGTCTTCGCCACTACACCTGAACAACCACAACCTCGGTCAACCTGTCCCCTCTCCTCATTCCAGAACTATCAACCCCAGCATCTCAATCGCCAACATCCCTTTTCCATTCAGTTATATCAACGACACGCAATCTCCAATCACCTCACCTCACCGCCACACCCATACCACAAAAAACCGCGGCATCAATTCCTACACTAGGAAGCTGGAACCATGCCGCCAAAATCATCATCATCATCCTCCTCCGCAGGGAAACTGACCGGCTCCTCCTCCTCCAAAACTCCCGTCAAATCCGCCCGAAACAGGGGCTACATTACCAAGACGCCTATCTCCTCGAAGCCGAAACCAAAGCCGAATGCGAGTATCTTGAATTACTTCAAGAAGGCGGCGGATGAGACGCTTTTTATTGGAGAAGGCGGGGTTGGGGTTGAGGATTTGGAGGGGGGTGATGAGCTTGAGGTTGAGGGTGAGAGGGAGGGTGAGGGTGAAATTGAAGGAGGTGATGTCAAGGGAGTTGAGGAGGAGAAACGGTTCAATGAGCTCGGGGGGCCGAGTAAGAAGAGGAGGGTCAGTTCTGACGCTGAGGAAGAAGTGAGGGGAAAGAAGGTGAAGGGGGGTGAGGTTGAAGTCAGGAAGGAGGCGGAGAAAGAGGAGGTGAAGCCGCAGAGTGCGAACAAAGAAGAGAAGCTGGCTGTGCCACCGAGTAGTGGTGCGCAGAGCGCAAAATCGGCAAAGAAGCTAAGGAGAGGTCCGTTCTTGGATGATTCGGACGAGGAGGATGATGAGGATGAGGATGAGGAGAAGGGAGCTGCTCATGTCAAGCCTGCGGGTTTATCTGGTGATGAGGGAAGGGAGAAAAGGGAGGAATCAACAGACAAGACGGAACCCAAGCCCTTAAAGGAGGTCACGGATAGGCCCAGAGTTCCGCTGCTACGACAAGAGACATCCGGCGCCAGAGCGGACACCCATACCAAGCAGGAAGAAGAAGACAAAGAATCGGCAAAGGACGACGCAGATCAAGTCGACGAAGACCCACAAGAAGACAAGGAAAATCACGACAACGACCTTCAAGGCGAGGAACTGAGAGAGAAGCGGTACGTGCAGGAGCAAGCCCGGCTCGAAGCAAAAGAGCGAGGGTTTCTCGGAGACGATGATGATTTTGACGAAATGATGTTGGATGATGCTGGATTTATCGATGAGATTGAGGACGATGATGATCTAACGTTTCCCCCGGCGGACCCGGATGCCATTACAGAAAGCTGCCCGATATGCAACGCAAGTCTCGCCGGCGTAACAAGCGACCAGGCCACCGCTCACGTCAACGCTTGTCTTGATGGCAACCCCACGCCACTTCCCCCTCCACCAGTTCCAGCAACAGCGAAGCAACGTGTACCCAAGATCAAGGACGAAAGTCAGGAGAGCACCAATCTCGTGGATGACACGATGACGGATCTCACAGAGGGTAGCAAACGCTTTGCTTCTCGCGCCGCCATTGCCCGCCCAGGACAAGCAAACCCCTTTACCCTCCCAGGCGATGACGATGATCCCAACCGTGGCCCCGATGCTAAACCCAAAAGTAACGGCAGCTCAGCCTTCAGCAAACTAATGTCCTCCCACGCCGAATCCTCCGCCTGGGCCACCGCCGCGGCCGCCGAGTCCGCCTCTAGGGGAATGCCGGCCTACAAGCGAACCTGCCCCTTCTACAAGATCATGCCCAATTTCTCCATCTGCGTTGACGCATTCCGCTACGGCGCCGTCCAAGGCTGCAAGGCCTACTTCCTCAGCCACTTTCACAGCGACCACTACATGGGCCTCTCAGCCAGCTGGGTACACGGGCCCATCTACTGCAGCAAAGTGACCGGGTCGCTGGTCAAGACGCAGTTGCGGACAGCGGCCAAGTACGTTGTCGAGCTGGAGTTTGGGGAAACAGTGCCGGTCGCTGAGACGGGCGGTACAGTGATGGTCACAATGATCGAGGCGAATCATTGCCCAGGGAGTTCGCTGTTTTTGTTCGAGAAGAAGGTGGGCAAGGAAGGGAGGACGCAGAGGATTCTGCATTGTGGTGACTTCAGGGCGTGTCCAGCGCATGTGGAACATCCACTACTGAAGCCGGAGACGCTTGATAAGGTGACGGGGAAGACAAGACAGCAAAAGATTGACGTTTGTTACCTTGACACGACGTATCTGAATCCGCGGTATTCGTTCCCACCCCAGGAGGACGTGATCCAGGCATGTGCGGAGGTGTGCGCAAAACTGGATAAAGGGTTGAAGGATGGGAACGAGGCAGAATGGGAGCGGTTGTTGAGGGTGAGGGAAGGCGGCGGTAATGCAAAGGAGGGAAAGGATGTCAGTCAGTTCTTTGGCTACAACAGTAAGAGAAGAGGGGACGGCGGCATCACATCAAACCCAACACCACCCGAGGAGGAACAAGAAGACACCAAGACCAAACCTCCTCCCAACGCCTTCACCGCCCTCACCTCATCGTCATCGTCCCGCAAAAACCGCCTCCTCGTAGTCTGCGGCACCTACTCCATCGGCAAAGAGCGCATCTGCGTCGCCATCGCGCAAGCCCTCCGCTCCAAAATCTTCGCTTCCCCATCCAAGATCCGCATCACCAAACAGCTCGGCGACCCCGAGCTCTCCGCCCTCATGACCTCGGACCCCCGCGAGGCCCAAGTGCACATGCAAGCCCTCGGCGAGATCCGCGCCGACACGCTGGCCGAGTACCTCGAGCTGCACCGGTCCAACGGGTTCAGCCGCATCGTCGGGTTTCGTCCATCGGGGTGGAGTTACCGTCCCGGATCCGGGTCCAACAACAACAACTCCTCCTCCCATCCCTCCCACCAAATACCACCAGATCTCGACACAGGACCCCCCGCTTCCGTCCCCGTCACCGCCACTCTCCCTCCTTCCTCCCTGCCGATCACGCACCTCCTCCACGGCAACCGGTTCCGGCCCCGTTTCTTCGCGAGGAACGTCGTCCCGCAGCGCGGGAGCGGGAAGGAGGCCATGTGCTTTGGGGTGCCCTACAGCGAGCACAGCTCGTTCAGGGAGCTGGCGCTCTTTTTGATGGCGTTGAGGGTGGAGAAGGTGGTGCCGACGGTCAATGTGGGGAGCGAGGCGAGTAGGGCGAGGATGAAGGGGTGGATTGATCGGTGGGTGGGGGAGAGGAGGAGAGGGGGGTTGGTGAGGGTTTTGCATGAAGATGAAGAGAAGGTGAAAGGGCAGAAGTTTTGGGATGGGAAGGATGGGAGTGGTGGGGGGGTTTATTGGTAGTTTGTGTGGTGGTTTGCGTAAGAGTTGGAGTGTTTATAGATGGATCAGGTTGGCGTCAGTAATCATGGCATCTCTGTTTGTTTGGAAGCTTATCCGGACATTGTGTCTGTGTTGTAATACATGGACCAACACTGTCCTCACTCGTTTGTTCGTTCACCTCACCGCGTTCATTCCTCATCTGGTATCCGTCCTATGTGACACTCTCGGATCCATCACGCTTGCCACGCTTGCCTTGCGGTTTCGCCGGTCACCGCCCTCTCTCTGTAGAGGTAACCTTGATTCCAAAAAATACCCGCCAAAGACTTTTCTCTTCCACATCGTCGTTTGCTTCAGTCGATGAACGAGATCGGTGGTGACAACCTTAGACTGTGGTTGATTTCCCGGTGTGTTTTCCGTGTAATGGTTCTAGATGATATTCCCCCCTTCCCCTCTCTCACACTCAACCCTGCTTAGCCTTAGTAGCCTGGTTTGCCGCCTCTGCCACATTGAAGTTAAGTTAGCATAAATACCACCACCCAGCCCATCCATCAAGTCACCACAAGTCCTCTCATTGATCAAACAAAGAAACATACCTCTCCTCGTAGCATCCTCCAACAACTGAATGTCCACGCTCTCCTGAGGCAAGTGGACGTAACGGACCACGGACCCGCGGATGAACACGTTCTTGACGGCGCTCAGGTGCGGGTACTTGAGCTCTTCGACGACCTGGATGTTGTCGAGCTTGATGTTGAGGAACTGGTCGACGCTCTTGAGCACGCCCCGAATCTGGATGTCGTTCTTGAGCTCGACCGTGACCTCGTGGTCGATGAGGGTTTTGAAGAAGCTTTTTTGTTTGATGTGTTAGCGTGTGTTTGTTTGACTAGATGTTGTAGTGGGTGCTTGAGAGGGAAGGGAGGTGGGAGGGATAGGAAGGAAGGAGGTGAGAGCTGTGAGGGAGGTGAGAGGGTGTGGTGTGGTGTGGTGTGGTGTGGTGTGGTGTGGTGTTTGATTGCCCTGGGATTTATGAGAGAGAGTGAAGGGGTCGATGAGCTCTTGGGGAACGAAAGGGTGGTATAATGAGAAGTGGTGATGTCAAAGTCTGCGGTGGGCTTGGTGTAGACATGTGAAGCAACTCCCGATATGTATCGCGGACCTCGTTTGCTCGGCTTCAAAGCAGCATCACAGCTGGTCAACATAGCGGAGACTTGACCCCACTAGGGATGATGGCTTGATATGATGAACGAACCGAGTGCTTCTCTTGGGTTGGATAAAGACACTATATTACCTGAAGAACAACATGGTGCTGGTATTAGTGTTGCTATGTTACCAAATGAGTGACGAAAAAAGGAAGCAAGATGTTATGAGATGTTGAACAACAGAAGGTGATGGAGTTGTTACTGGACTGTACACGCCAAGGAGACGACTGCCCAACTCGGTGGAGGACTGGAAAGAGGTGAGCTGCGCTTTGGGGGTCCAAGCTTCCATACAGTGGGAGCACAGACCATTTGTTCTGTATCCGCCAAGACCTCCATGTTGCTAAGGTACTGGCAGCTGACAGCCCGGACATGGCACAGTTTGTACAGAGCTGCCCTGCCTCAGAGTGCCAGTGTTGAAGTCGAAGGAAGTGTCCTACCTCTAGGAAAGTGACAGTGTGGCACTTGCCTGTTGAGTGAGACGGCAACGCGAGGAATCACAGGCGCGACACGGGCATCAGTCAGACAGTCACACAAACTCACCGGGAATAGCACTGCAAGGCCCAGGGCAAGGGCAACCTGAACACTTACAACGCAGAGAGAGCGCTACAGAGCAACGGAAGTGCAAGTTAAAAAGGCCCGCCCAGCGCTCTGGCCCAGCCCCATCCATCCCCATTCCCTGATTCCCACACAGGTCAAACAGCCCACCACTCAGGCATTCTTCATCACTCGCGAGCGACAGTCGGGGCCGACAGGGATGTGCCATCTGTTATTGTGCCGTCATTGGATTGTGTATCGACCAGCATCGACCGCCTTTCAGCGAGCGAGGCAGACCGCGACGAGCATCCCTCGAGCACGCCGTGGACGCGGCAGCCTTCCCGGGGCCTGATACCCCTTAGAGAGACATCGACATCATCGCCGTTACCGAGGACCCAGAGCAGCCAGCCCCCCCAGACCCCCGAGTCCGGATCCTCTTCCACGGAACCCCCTAAAGTCCATCCAGGTAGCACACGGGCCGGAAGCCGCGCCAGGATCACCCGTAGTAAGGTGCGCAGCAGCCAAAAAAGCCAGGAGCGCGGGGTTGCCGATTACGCAGCAACAATGCCGCCGCCCTCGGGCCAAAAGGGCAGCCAGAAGGGCACGGGGAAGAAGGGTGGAGCGGGTGTCATGCGCCAGCACCAGCACCCGCGCAGTCGCAACACCACGCCCAGCGCCGGCTCCCCCCAGGTTGCCAGCCTGCCCCCCATTGAGCAGCACGAGACGGCCACCTTGGACGTGCGCTTCGACCTCTTCCGCAACATCACCCACGACGACATTGTCGACCACGCCGCTAACAACACCGCATCGCCCGACTCCAAGAGCCTCGATGGCCTCCTGTCCCGCCTGTCACGTCTTAGCGAGGTCATTGACAAGCGGGGGACCAACTGTGACAAAGGCATGCGTCTGCTCGCCCAGTCCCGCCGCCTCCGCGAGAGCGAGCTGGCCGCCGAGCGCGGCCGCGAGGAGGAACGCCGCCAGAAGGAAGCCGACGACGAGGAGCGTGCCGAGCGCAAAGCCAACAAGAAGAAGCGGAAGGCCACCGAGAACCTGGCCCCGCCCCAGGGAAACAACATAGGTTTGCATCACCCCCAATTGAAATCCTCTGCCTCTGCCTCCATTATTTTATCACTGACTCGACTCTCTTCCCTGCAGAGTATTCTTCCCCAGTCCGCGAGTCCGGAAACAAAGCAAGGAAGCTCTCCCGCGATGACTCCGCCAGCTCTTCCCTCTCGCCTGTCGCCCCCAGGACGCCCTCTGCCATGGAGGCCGACGACAAGACCAAGACCGAGGAAAATGACGACGACGACGACTCCGATGACGACGGCCAACCCCCGCCGCCTGCACGACCACAGGCCAACACTTTTGGCGATGATCCATCTATCTTCCCCGATCCGACCGTCTACGAAATCCTCCCGGTGAAGCCAGGAATGACGGAAGACGAAATCAAGGAGATCTTTTCAGTTGCAGTCTATCCAAAGAGCGACCTGGCCGACATAATAGCCGGCGATCCCCCCGATAAGGACTTCAGCAATGCGAAACCTAGTAACCAAATCAACTTTTCTACTTTCAGCACTTATGTCGAACCATTTTTCCGACCGTTTACAGAAGAAGACCTCGCGTTCCTTAGAGAGCGTGGCGACCGAGTCACGCCCTTTGTCATGCCGAAGCGCGGGAAGAAACACTACACAGAAATATGGGCCGAAGAGGACGGCGCCATGGCCATTGATTCGGCACATGTCAAGGACAAACTGCCCCCCAATCAGCCTCGTGGCAACATAGAGAACATGAACGACGAAATTGCCGAGACAGACAAGCTCTCGGTTGGGCCCATTCTAGCACGGCTATTGCAGACGATGCGGCCCGAGCATCGTGCACCGCCCGCGGAGGAGAGACAAAACGGCGTCAGTGCTGACGGGGATGTTGTTATGAACGGTGTCGATCGTTTTGATTTTGGGGACACTCAACCACAGACAGCGTCGCCCACGGTAAACGGGATTAATGGCACCAATGGAAACGTCAACGGCACAGCTGGACAACCCGCCTCAAACCAACTCCCGCCTGCAACTTTCATGCCCGAGTCCAACAGCGAATCATGGAAGAAAGCCTCGCATCCTAAACTCGATTACTCCCAAGTTGATGAACGTCTCAAGCAAGAGCTACGACACATTGGCTTCCTACCTTTCCCGCCCGATCAAGCCAACGGGACCTCTTCCACATCCAACAATGTCTCGTCATCGAATACGGGCAATAACAACACGTCTTCCACGAGCGGCTCCTCTGCCTCGCATCCCTCCGGCGGTGATCCTGGTCCCACAGCTGCCGATTTCGATGGCCATTACGATGACGAAGTTGCCGCCCGATTACGTCTTCTCCAATCCCGTCTGCACGAGCAGGTTCTTCTTAACGGTGCTCGCAAAGCGCGTCTCACTGAGCTTGTTAAAGAGCGCATGGCGTTCCAAGAGTACCAGACCATTCTTGAAGACCTTGACAGCCAAGTACAAGCAGCCTACCTCAAACGGACCCGTACGATGGGCAAGAAACCGAAGAAGGCCCGGCCAGGTGCCGCAAAGGATGGCGCCAATGCGAATGGCGGGTCCGGGACGCCCGGCCCAGGCGGTGCGGCAGGCATGGCGAGACCGGGCATTGGAGACCTTACGCGCACGCTCATGGAGCGTAGGCGGAGGTGGATCGAAAACATGGGACCGCTTTTTGAGGATGATGTCCCCCCTTCGGAAGATATGAGCCCAGCGGCGAGAAGAATTAGGGGCTCCAAGCTTATGAAGGTTCCTAGGGTGAATGAAGAAGGGAGCACGATTTTTCCACGAGAAGCAATGGCTGATCTTATCAAGCGGGAGAAAGATTCCTGGGACGACGAAGAGGCTGATGAGGAGTGAGTAGCTCCTCCCAACCACGTTGCCTCCCCAGGCCTCTCGGGTCCTTCCCATCCTCGGGGTCCTCCTGCTCGGGCGTCGTCCCCAAAATCCCACAACCATAATGATGTGGCTGAGGTTGTGGATGTTCGTGGAGATGAGCAATTTAATACATCGGTTGGTCCTGATGAAGAAGAAGGACACGAGAAACCCATCATCTCGGTTGATGAGGAAGAACACGAGCAACTCAGCATATCGTTTGGGTTTGATGAGGAAGAGCACGAGAAATTCAGCATATCGGTTGATGAGGAAGAACACGAGCAATCCAGCACATCGGTTGGGCTTGATGAGAAAGAAGAACACGAGCAACCCAGCATATCGGTTGGGTTTGATGAGGAAGAGCACGAGCAAATCAGCACTTCGGTTGGACCTGATGAGAAAGAACAACACGAGCAACAAAACGGACATAGAACCCAGGTGCGGGACCAACACGAAAACACACGTGAAAACACACGCGAAGACAGGCAAGAGGTCGAACAAGAGGACGAACAGCGTCCTGCAACAGCTTGTCCACCACCAGTTATCCCCAAGGGTACAAAGTGTGAGCGATGCAAACGCAAGAAAATCATATGTACCGTCGATAGACCCTGTCCGCCCTGTATACAGGCCGGAGTTGGAGAGAAATGTCGCTCAGTACCAAAGCCACTCCCCCGAGGCACAAGATGTCAGCGATGCAAAGAAAAAGATTACCGCACATGTACCATCGAGAAGCCCTGTCCGCCCTGCATCAAGGCGGGAGTGGGGGATCAGTGTCGCCCAGCACTAGAGAAGCGACTCCCCGCAGGCACAAGATGTTTGCGATGCCGCGAATCAAACGGCATCTATCAATGTACCATCGAGAAGCCCTGTCCGCCCTGTGTCGAGGCTGGACTAGGAGGTCAATGCCATGCAACACCTCGTGTCCCCAGGGGCATAAGATGCCAGCGATGCAAAGAAGACATCAGCTTGTTATGTACCACTGAGAAGCCCTGTCCGCCCTGTATCAAGGCTGGCGTGGGGGATCAGTGTCGTCCAACAGAAATTATGCGCCATGGAACAAAATGCCAGCGATGCAAACGAAACAACCGTCTCATATGTACTATTGAGAAGCCCTGTCCGCCCTGTATCGAGGCTGGCGTGGGAGATCAGTGTCGTCCAACAGAAATTATGCGCCGTGGAACAAAATGCCAGCGATGCAAAGGAAAAAATTACCTCACATGTACCATCGATAAGCCGTGTCCGCCCTGTATCGAGGCTGGCGTGGGAGATCAGTGTCGCTAAGCACCAATGGAGCTGGCGCACGAGAATTCGCCCGCGTTGTAAGAAGAAAAAGGCGTCGACTTCAGCGATAAAGGGCCGTGTTCTGTCGTGAGAAAGTCTGATTCACAACTTTGGGTAAAGATCCTGCCGAAACGCCATCTGGCCGAATACTGAGAACAATAAGTGGTTACTAGACTGGTTGGTTAAATCAATAACTAGGAGGAAACCGATCGGCTCAGTCACTTCTCTTATTTCTCCTTTTTTTTCCCCCTTTTTCTTCACTGGATAGACCAAGGTTGATGGAATTCGGTTATGATTTTCTTACCACTGGTCTGTACCACTATACCTACTCGACTATCATCGTCGACTATTTCCCACCCACCCTGTATTACTGAACGGTGTTTGTCTTCTTCTTTTCTTCCATTAGTGTACTTGGCCTCTCTGTTTTTCACTTTCAATTTTTCTTTCTGGGTTTGGGGAGAGGCTAGCAGCCGTGGTTTTCCAAGCATGATGGCGTTTTGGATGGTACAAAATGGCGTAAAAAGGGAAGGGAAGGGTACGGTAAACAGGCTGGTGACTACTACTGATTCTAGGTTTAAAGAGGAGGCAGGTTATCCGTCAGGTTTTATCGCGGTTATGGTTTGGGATATCGTTACTTTGGAGTATCACGAGTTAGGCGACAGTACTAAGTACCGAATCTATATCTTACTGTGGTTCCGAGCAAAAGAAAAACCCCCCTGCCAGGTACCTGGCACGGACCACCACGGCCAAAATTTCGGGGTTGTGTAAGGTTCGGTACTTACCCCGCCTATTAAACTTACCCATAACACCAAGTATGTGGCTCTATTCCATGATACAATGGGCACTGATATGACTTACATCGTTCTCCTTCACGCTCGAAATTTAGCAAGGAGTGTCATTAGTGCGGTTCCTTAACACATCCGTGATGCTCCAAGTCCACTCCCTTATTTCCACAGTCTGTCAGATTTATGGAAACATCTGAGAATTTGAAATTAACGAAGATAGTTTCAAACGCCTTGCTATGACCAGATACGCTATCTCGCTATGTATGCATAATTATGTATGAGTTCCGTCTACACACAAATGGCTATGACTTCAGCCACCTGCCTGTTGTAACTCCAAATCCCAGATTTCCCATCAAGAAAAAAAAAAAAAAAAAAAAAGCCAATCCAGCGCCTTTGCTTGCTAACTCACCGCGCTATCTATCAAGGTACCTATAACGCGTCCGCTGTCTGCCGGCTTTTAACTCTAGCAAAAAAAGACCGTTCCATGAATCAAGATCTCACGCCCCTTCCTCCTCCACCGGACCAACCGCTCCAAGCCGAACATAAAACCTCAAAGCCCTCTCATAAGTCCACATCGTAACCGCGCTCGCCGGCGCCGCCTTAAACAAGCTAACCGTCAGTCCCCTATACAATCCCCTCACCCCTTCCCTCCTCACAATCGTCCCCACCGTCTTTATCATCCCACCATCATAAACGGGGATATTCTTATGCACATACAACCCCCTCGTCGGGCCCTGCACTTGTATCCTTTTTCTCACCAAATCCAACGGAAACGTGCCCGTCTTGGCTACTACGCTCGCCACCACGCCCGCCACCGCGCTCCCCGAGCTGTAGGGTAGCTCGAGGTCGGAGAGCGCGGGGCGTAAAGTTTCGTACACGCAGAAAAACATGCCCATGTACGGGATGATTTGTGCCAGACCTGGCCCCAAGCCGCGGAAGTAACCGGTGGCGCCTTCGGAGGTGTAGATGTTTTTGATCGCTTGTAGAAGAGAAGGGTAGACGCGCTCGACGCCTTGCGCGGCGAAGCGTGTCCTTAACAAATCGAGGGGGTAGGTAGCTGCCGTGGCGACGCCGCCGGCGGTGGCGCCTGCCACAAAAGATTCGACTGATTGGGGCAGTTGTTTGTTTTGTTCTTTGGGAAAAGCGGTTTGGAGGAATTGCGTGATGGAGCGGTAGGTGGTGAACTGCACGGCGGCGTACGAGACGTAGAGAAGCTCGGCGGGGATGTTGCCCTTCCAGAGACCGGTGAGACCTTCGGTGCGCAGGATGTGTCGGATTGTAGGGAGAGTGCCCTTGTAGATGGGCCCGCCGCCGATGATTTCGGCGCCGCGCTGGTGGATGAGCGGGTCCGAGAGGGAGTGGTGTTGCAGCTGGAGGCGGATCTTGACGACATCGAGGGGGGCGATGACGAAGCTGTTGGGAGGAGGCACGGGGAGCGTTAGTAACGGCGGTTGGGTCAAAGACTTTCTCGGATGATGGCTTTCAAGGTAAGGGGGTCGTGATGGACGTACCGAGAGATCAAGCCGGCCGTTGCGCCGGCGGCCGTCACCTGGAGGCGGGAACCCTCATCCTTGAGGCGTTCGGCCTTGCCAGACATTCATCCAGCACGCGATACGGCGGATAGACGTGGAAGTGGACGCCCGGTAAACGTGGGCTGAGCGATGCGTGATCAACGACCAGTCGGTATTCGAATGCGGGAGAGCGGCCAAGCTAGAGCTGACGTAGGGCTACTGCTACCGTGCAGACTGCTGCGGGGAGCGTTCAGCGTGTTGGGGCTTCGGTGTTCGGATGTCCTGACGGCAGTGCTGTGCGCCTTGCAGTGGTATCTTTGGAGATGGTGCTTCGTGTCAAGTCTATGCGGTTCTTTCGGTGTTCAGTTTGAGATTCATGATAAGCGAAATGTAACTGCGAAAGACGGCATTGGGAGTGGAAACTGAGTGATCTCATTGGAAGGGCAAGCGCGCCAAGCCTTGAATCTTTTCGCGTCGATGTACAATCCCTTTTACAATCGATACCGTGACGTCTACAAACGGCTTTACAAACGGCTTGTAAGACGGCGAATTGATAACGCACAAGGTCCGTGGATTGAATCTCGATCAACGCCTTATCTCGCTGAGAAATGTCCGTAGTAAACACATTCTAGAAGAGCCGCAGCATATATGTAATGCAGTTGGGCTTAGAAACGGAGATGCTGTAGCTAAATGGGGCGTTTAATGCTGCAGCGCAATGCTTCTATGTACTCTGCCTCGACGTACGTGCTAGGCATGCATCGAACACTTCACTTGTCCATGTGGCCAAGGTCTTGTGATCTCCGTTGCTCTTGCAGACTGACGGCAATGACGATGGCTCGCAAGGCGAAGTCTTGTTCTTCTCTCCATGAAGAGGCGCTGACTAGCTGCCGCAGTGTGAGACACCATGAGGCATGAGAATGGAATGGAAAGGGGAGAGTCGTTCTCGGTGAGTGATGACGGCAGTGACGACATTGTTCAACTCGGGGGATCAACAGGGGTGCCACGCGGTCAGCTCAGCCTTGTTGTTCAGGAAGCAGCAGCAGGCCTTGCCATCATTTTGCAGAAAGAATGTCTTGAGCTTTGATTTTTTGTTGTTGCACTGGCTAACGTCCTGTCGTGTCCTGTGTCGGGTAAACGGGAGCTGACAGATCAAGATGAGTCGATATGAAAAATTACTGTCCTACACAAGGACTGATACCAAAGCATACATCATTCCTCGACATGAGTCGATGTGACCCTTTGGCTTACCTGTGAGAGCATTATCCCTATGGGGCAAGCAGGAGTTGATGATATCGGCGTCGGTCGAGCGGTTGTAAGACGGAAAAGGGGTGAAGAGAGAGAAAAAAAAAAAGAAAGAAAGAACACGGCCCGTTACCACGATCCGGTCTCCCAATACTACCGCCGTCTCCTCCATCCACATGCTAATCAAAAAGATAAGTCCGGAATCGAGGCTCTTGACAGCCAAAAAGTTCACCGTAGCATTGCCATGTCTTGATTGGTTCCATCCGCCCGAAGGTTGCTACCCAGCAATCGCTACCCCACTATTTCCTTGAATTGGCTAAAGCTTCCACTGCTGCTCCCCAGTTCTCCAGGTACGTACCTGCCGACGGATGCACCCCAGTGTTGGAGATGTGTGAGAATGTCCACGTCCGCTCAATGCACGGGGCCCCTCCAACTCTTGCGGTTCACGAGATGGACTCCCGTTCCCCGTCATCTCCATCATCCCGCAGCAACTGGCAGCAGGGCATCCCGTGAGCCGGTGGGACATTTGTTCATCCACGGAGTCTGTTATATCTCGGCATCCCATACCCTCCGTTCTCTCTTTCATCCCGTCTTCTTTCTACTATTCTTTTTTTTCTTACCGTTATTTCCAAGTTACGACTTTGCGTCTTCACCACTTCACTTGCTTGCCCACCAAGCAGAAGCGCTGCACGTCATCTGCAGCAACAATACCTCCGCCCAAGCCTCACACATCACCAAACCCCTTTCCATCCGCAGTGCTTGCAGTGCATAGGGCCCGGACTGATCTGGATACTTCTTCCTGCCTACTTGCAAGGCTTAACCCTCCGAGCCACGCATCTTTATACACATAATCATCGACGTGTGTTGGGCTCCGGTGCAGGTCAACCATCGCATGTGATTCACTTTGTTCGCCGCCAAGACCAGTGCTATAAAGTCAACTGGGCCCCTCTGAGAGCTGTCATACGATTGTCTTCAAAAGTATCACAAGCAAAGCTTCAGACCCCGCATCAAACACACATTACAACCTTACCTTCACTCTCACTACGGCAACAACAAAACCTACCATGGCCATTGCAGCAATGACTTCAACCAGTATCACCTCTCCGGATATCGAGAGCCTCGTGAGGCCTGTCCTCTCCGCCCTACCAGGAGCGTCCGCCTCGACCGAGCCAGCTACAACAGTACTACCCCTTCTTTCGCCCATTCTCAGACAGCGAGTACAGCTTCTCTCCGGCTCCAGCACAGATCCATGGATCCGTCTTCTTACCTATGACACTTCCAAGGTGTCCAGACTCACCGAGATCGCCCAAAGTGGTAGTCTGGATCCCCATCCGGTATCGGGAGAAGTGGAGATGGATTGGGATTATGACGTCCACATCAAGTACAGGAGACTTGACCAGGAGACACTTCAGACCCTCGTGGTATTGGGAGAGTTCGACCTGTTTGTTCGTCTTGTGTACTGCGTCAACGACAAAGACGGCGGCGGTGACGGATGGCGTGTAGGCGAGGTCAGCGTGGCCAGCGATCCTTCTCCCCTGGAATCTTTCGGAGGTTATTCCACACTCGATGAAGCCGAGAAGGCGTTCAAGGCCCAACAAACCTCCGTGACAGAAATCAAGCCCGTTGCGCAAGTGTCCATCCAAGCTGAGCCGGTCGAAGAAGATGACGACGACGATTACTGGGGCCGGTACGACGCCACGCCTTCCCAAACGCCGGGCCAAGGCCGCTCTCCTGCACCGCCGTCTTTGGGCGCCGGCCTCAACACTCAAGCGCCCAACCCCTTTGAGCGAAGCGCATCCGCTGAAGATGCGTACTTCGCCCGGTACGAATCTGTGCAGCCAGCCATGGACCCCCATGATCCGGACGAGGAGGCTCTCCAGGGCGGAGCTGTTGGCGGTGGTGCATCGCTTAACGGTCTTCTTCTTCGCCGGTCTCCGTCCCCACAACGACAACAAGTATATGAGCCTCCCGTCACTAGCTCCGCACCAGCGCCGCCGCCATTGGGTCTGAACGGAGACGGCAACGGCGGTTACGTCCCATCTCGATCACCTTCCGACGAGTCCGGCTCCGGGTCGTGTGGCCGGCGCATGTCCCAGGCGGACGAGGAGAGGACTGAAAGCATTGCTCATCCGCGCCCAGCCAGTAGCGCCAGCTCGAACGGATCCCGTATGGTCGCCAAGCTCGAAGAGACTGCGGAGGCTCAAGATCGTGTCGAGTTTGGTATTAAGCAGCACGTGTCCAGGACGATTCGAAGTCTATTCCAGTTGTCGCGCGGCGCGGGCATCGGTCGTGAAGAGTTCGAGCGGATGGTTAGGAACGAGCTGGATGTTCTTGCGATGGTGGAGGATGACGTTTGAATAATGAACAGCGCGAAGAAGGGAAACTGGGAAGGGAAATCATCCATTCAGTCAAAAGGGTGCCGGTGTTCACTTTTTAGATTCCTCATGTTGTTCGGGATACTGCATCATCAGGTTGTTTTTGGCGTCCGGTACTGGTGGGGGAGTCCGTGGAGGCGGTCCGCCTCGTGGTTCTTGTTGGTCGTTCGGAGTTCAGGCAACGGTGTTCAAGGAATATGTTAGCAATAGCGTTACGGAATATCAGTTAGAGTACGATAGTAAATCATAGCAAATATGCATGTAAAAAAAAAAAGAAATGATGTCCAGTATCTATAGACCATCGAGAGAGTTGAAGACGAAGTGATTGTGAAAGCCAAAGACGGAACTCCGGAATTGGCAAAGAGCTACCCCACCAAGTACGTACCTCTCTCTCGTACACAGGGTTAGGGTCAAACATGGCTACTCCGCGTGGACCGTGAGGCTGCCAGCCGCCAGTTCGTCCCAATGATTGGTCCCTGCTCCAATGGCCGGGTCCTTCCGCAGCGGAGCAAAAAAAGTCTCGAAAGTCGCGTCCCACTTTGACGGTCTTCCGGGGTTGATTGCCCGTGTGTTTTGAAGTGCGTCCGCCGGCAGTCCGTCCAGTCTTGAAGTCGTCTCCGTCCGTCCTCAAGGTCCCCCCACCCACCGTCCACCGTCCACCTCCCCCGACCGAACGACCGGCCGACCTTCCCTCCCACCGAACCTTTCCTCCGAACCCCGGACCGTTTTTTTCTTTTACGGAGAAAAAGACCAAACACAACAGACAAAATGATCGGCTCCATGGGTCTAAGGATACCCCGTGCGACAAGCTCGCTCCTCGGCCGTGCTGTCAACGCCGTCGCCACCAACCAGTCTGCCGCCGCCAGCATCGCCGCCCAAAGGAGATGGCAGCACTACCTTATGCCGCTCCGCGACAACTTCGAGCAGAAAGGCATCCCCAACTTCCTCAGCCCCGGCTCCATCAACATGGCCTATACCGAGTACCAGACCTACATCTTGGAGAAGCTTAACGCGCTTGTAGCAGGTACGTACGGATGAACATACAACACAGATGCTTGTTTGTCTTGGGATGTTGGTGTGCCAGGGTTGTCATATGGCATGGCAAGGCATGGTATGGAAGAAGAGCAGGTTACGCGTGAAGATTACGGGCTGCGGGGAAGCGGTATACTTGGGTTGAAGACGCCACGACGAGCTGCTGTTAGCCTGGATGGAAGGGGAGGAATTCGCAGTGGTTTGGGCGCAAAGGAACAAGAGGAGGAAATAGAAGGAAGGGGACTGAGATCAAGTCGACATGGCTTGCCTCCCCACCAAGAGCACATCACCTATCGCGCTGCAAGAGAGCTATCTAACTAACAAACCACCTTACTTACTTCTCGCTTCCAAACAGGCACCGACTTCGAGCAAAAAGACACCAAGTCCATCGTCCTCGCCACCGCCCGCGACCCCGAGCTCGCCCACGTCTTCAACCACGCCTCCATGGCGCACAACAACCACTTCTTCTTCGACCACCTGTCCCCGGCCCCCGTGAAGATGGGCGACAAGCTGTTCTATCACATCAACGAGAACTTCGGCTCCGTCGACACGCTCCGCGACGAGATGATCGGCACCGCCGTCTCCATGTTCGGCCCCGGTTTCGTCTGGCTCGTCCGCACCCAGCTTCCCGGTCAGCCCGTCGCCCTCCGCGTTATGGCCACCTACCTGGCCGGTTCCCCTTACCCGGGCGCCCACTGGCGCCGCCAGGAGGTCGACGCCCAGACTGCCATCGGCAGCTCCCCCCAGGGATTGGCCAACGGCCAGCGCTTCCTCGAGCGCAGCGCGGCTGGGTTCAAGGGCAACAGGCTCGAGCCTACGGCTCCCGGCGGCACTGATTTGATCCCGATCTTGTGCCTCAACACGTGGGAGTACGCCTGGCTCCGCGAGTACGGAACCGGTGTGGGTGGTATGGGTGGTAAGCTGGCGTATGCGCAGAGCTGGTGGAACATGATTGATTGGGCTAAGGTCGAGGAGGAGGCCAGGCTGGAGGCTAGGATTTTGACGGGTGGTGATAGCTCTGTTTCGCCTCTTGCTTCCGTTTTGTAAGGAAGAGGAGGGAGGAGTGGGGAACTAAAGTAGGAAGCGAGGCGAGAGCGTGAAAGCTTGAGCTTTGACTTTTTGGTTCTGACTACTCGAGACTACTGGTTCATCAATTCTTACCTGCCGCCGCCGCCGTCGGTCTGCCGGTTGTTACCTTGTCCTGTTCGGTCTCTGTTTGTGAGACAAGAGAAGAGCGAGTGGAAAAGGGATGCGATGGCCGGTTATACGGTTTCTGTCTAACTTTGTGTATCTGTCTGTGTATATGGAACCCGGGGAAAATTGGGAAATGTGTTCTGTACGATAGGATAGCGTGATGGTGGGGCTGGCCGGAAAAAGAGAAAGGAAAGTAAAAACCAACCAACCTTGACGACTGTCATTCATGTGTTCACATATATCATCATTGAACGAAGTCGTTGCGGAAGAAGGAAGCCATATACCTGCCAATTGGAGTATATAAACATGCAAGATACGTACAAAGCTACAAACGTCGAACGAAGCATTCTACAATCACGACAGGTTCTTACATAACACCCCAATCTTCGTTGCTCACTAGACAACGCTGCCTTGTAGCTCTTCAAGAAACCTCTACGAATCTTTTTCTAGAGTTACAGTAGTGCAATCCGATTCCGTCTTCCATCCTATCTATTCCTGCCATCCATTCTAATCACCCTCACTCAGCCGCTCGCTGTTACACACAAGCTCTTTACTAACGTCAACCTTTTTTACACAATCATTAGCAACCAAGGTGCAAGAGCTTTCAGGTAGTAAGATACTTGAGCAGTTCCGTTGCCAATTTTTGTCGTGTTTGTCTTTACAATCTCAGCTTCCAGCTTCCAGTTTTCTTGAGCTCTCGGGCTCTCTGTCAGCGATGGCCACGGATTAACTACCTAGTGACTACCGACTGTGAGATTGTCAGACGCTCAGACTGTGTCAGATTGCTGGCTTCTTCTGGTTGAGGGCGAGGCTGAGACTTGACTGTTTCGTTTCGGCGCGGTAACTACGGTAGGTAGGTACGTAAACCGAGCACGAGTGACTGACGGGAGAGTAGTGTATCGGTGTCCAGAATTGCCATGCCATGTTATGTCTTGTCTTGTCTCGTCTCGTCTCGTTTTGTCTTGTACCTTGAATCTGGTTGAAATAGTTGTCCGTCAGGTTTAGGTTTAGGTTGCGGTGACTCGACGACTACTGTATGCCCCCGTTTTACACACAGCTCATCTAGGGCTCAATCAAGTTCAAGAAAGCCGCAAAAGTTGGGCAAATCCCAAGGTAGTTTGTGCAGGTAACAACAGGCAGCAAGAGATATACACACACCAACCACCATTTTGACCACCCCTATTAATTCTCTCTATTTAACTTGGTTTGAGGTTGAACGGGATTTATCCCTTTCAGCTGCTTGCTATACATGTGTCAAACAGTTGTCAACCTCTGTCAAATGTCAAACTCACACCTTGTCAAACCCATATGTATCAAATTCAGTAACACCAAAATCCAGTTTGATACCGACACACGGGAAGGTGCCATGTCATGGCTGCCCTGGCATACGTAGATGGCTTGAGCAGCTCGTGTAGCCAAGCTCCCAGGTTCCTCCTAAGCGACGCAGTAACCCAGCAACCTAGTTACCATGACTGTCTTGTGCTTCCGTCAACTTGACAGACTCGTTGCTATGTAGTGGTCCAGATGCGAGCCCAGTTTTGGGGGTGGTGAGGGTAATGATGTCGAGACAAACACTTATATGAGCGATATGGGTAATAGATACGTGGTACGGAAACGGTATGCCTGTTGAGCACTTGTCACTTGTAGGTGGAGAAGATGTGGAAGAGAAGAGAGAACATGTGTTTCTTCACCGTTACGTTTATTTTCCTGCCGTACTAGGAAGAGTGAGAGATGGGTTAGTTCACAGCTGTTGTTTCTCGTGGAACATGAACTTTTCCTCAAATATAGCGTGGTCCACGGGCCGGAGCTGTCAGTCTGTCAGTCCCTTAACCTGTCGTGTTTGTGATACCTGGCCCACATGTAAGAGAGAGAAAAGGAACAAAAAAGTCAAAGATGTTTGAGACGGGTGATCACCTGATGATCTCGTTGGTCCTGAATCTCAAAAACGATGTGGGCTTGTGTGCTTTTATTACTAACCAGGCGGTGCCAGGCTGCCAGGCAGCTCCCGCTCGCTTGTTTGATGATCAAGATCGACACTGCCCTGGGCGAGTGCGAGCAGGTTGCCCAAGACGGGATGGTGACGGAGTTCGGCATGTTAGCAAACAGCTATGTATTCGATGACTCATGGAAGACTTCAACGTGTACACTAGCATTTGTAATACTCGTCAGGGCGTCAAAATCGCCGCTGACTACGACGAGTAGGTAGTCCAAGAAAAGGGGTTGATGACATATATATATATATATTTGATGGGTATACTTTAGATAAGTGAAGGTCACAAGCTGAGAGTCTGGAATGGTCTTTGACAAATCAAGAATAAGGAGCGCTTGGCTCGCCTTACGGATACAACGGCAATGGAACAATAAACAATATATTGACCCCGCAGCTTCCAAAAAGCTTATTCGGGTTGATGGGACCTGTTTTACTGCCCTCCCTTTGAGAATGAAACTTGGTTCCTGGGTCGTCGGAACTTGCCTGTATTTGGCTTCATGGTTCGATGTTTGGCTCGGGTTGGGTACCGACCGCTTGTAGGGCATGTCGATCGCCGGTTCTCTTTGCTAGAGTAAGAGACATCGGACACCACATCGGAGGAGGGGCAGTGGAAGCGAAGAGAAGGTGCAAGCTTTTGTCTTGCTGAGACGGTCTCCGCTCAAATCTGAAGTGTTTTGACGGTTCCGTAGCCAGTCCTGTCTCCGAATTTGGACAGAACACTTCACCATACCTTCACCCCCTGTCTTCGGCTAAGCAGCAGTCCGACCTAGCGATACAGCTTTGGCCTCTGGGGAAAAGGCGGGACGCACAACGCATCGCGAAGAGCTGTTGTTCGCTTCGGATTAGGTCTGCGAAAAGAAAAGGAAAGGTGAGGAAAGCAGCGAAGCAGGACGCAGCGGGGCATTGTGCAGCCGAATGGAAACATGATTGACGATGGGACCCGACGTCGGGAAGACGTTTCCGTGGGAGTGGGTGAAAGCGCACGGACAGCGGTCGCTGTACACTACGCTAGGCACATATAAAACCACGCTAGACCGTGGTCGGGTGGATGCCAAAAGACGTCAACTCTGGACACCTGAAAAATCACTGGCATCCCCTCGGCGAGCGGCGAGCGGGCTGCGCTCCGGTTCCAACGGGCATCCAGTTCCAGCTGGAGTTTCCATGTCTTGTCTCAATCGGGCCGCCTAAATCGACTGTGTACCATGCTTAGCTTACTGTGTGGGGCCCATACAAACTCGCTGCCAAGACAGGCTCCTGACAGCCAAGACCCTAAGCTTGGCATCAATTTCGCGCTGTCCGCAATCATCACCAAATCATTACCAAATATCATCATTTTAAACCACGACAACAAGAGCTCAAAACCACCTTTTTAGAGCGTTGACTTCACATTCATATGCGGGGGCCTCTTACCGGCCCCCTGCACCCCCGGAACTAACCCTAATACTTAACCTTAACCGCCAACCCTAATACCAACCTCTTAGGCAGCCTGCAAAGGCTTACACAGTTAATTTAGAATGGCACACAGTCAATTTAGGAAATCCGGTCTCAATTGTTCGAAAGAGCGACCCGAGTCTTCGATTCCATCGCAATCGCATCCCCATCGCATCTCCTCCACTGGCTCTCATCCCGTCCGCCTTGTCTTGTCCCGTCGGTCGGTTCGGTCGGTCTTTGTGGTCTGCGCTCCCGCCGAACGTGCCTTCTGCTGCGAGACTCCCGCTGCGCTGCAATCTGCACTCTGCAACATCTGCACTCGCCGTTCCCGTTTCCTTGGCTCCACGGTCAGATCTTGGCTCTTTTCCCAGCTTCCCGTCACTCTTTCCCTGCAACAGCAGCAGACAGTGCAACCAGGCAGAGGGCCCGCAGCATCTTCGAAAGCGAATTGATTGGGAATTGGCAGCCACGGCAGCGAAAAGCGAGCTTCCACTTGACTCGAACACGCCAACCTCGAACACGCCAACTTGTCGCCAATCTTCCCCTAACTTCATACCGACCAAACCCTGAAAATCCCAGTCCAGTTCTCCCCTAACGACTTCCAATCTTTCGCCCGGCTGTCCGTCCTTCTTTTCACCGCCAAACTCTCTCTCCTTCAACCTCAGCAGCAGCGGCAGGCAGCAGCACCCACAACCCATTCTCCCCCACGGGATTCTTTCGCAAAAAGACGGCTGTTTTGCGGATGCCATAAGACCCGGAGCCGAAGGGCCGCTGTAAACCCTTCGAAATGCCCGACAATGTCCATGTGTGAGTGGCCGCTCCCTCTCCCCCCTATAATTCGAAGCCCCCCGAAAAGCGCCCCGAAAAGCCCCCCCTCTCCGCTTCCGCTTTCCCAGTGCTTGGCGTCCGGTCGATGCTCCTGAAGCTATCACCTCTTGGCTAGCCAAGCCTCGCCAAGCCTGGGGAAACGAGCACCGTCTGTCGCCGCCACGGGCGCACATCTTCAACGACTTCGTGATACCAACACAACTGTTGACGACCATCTACTGACACGGTTATTGTTGCAGCTGTCGATGAGATTCGGAATGTCGTGTACGTCGTCGTCCTTCTCACTTGCGGTTTATCCGGCTCCCCCATCTCGTCCACCTTTCATTCCTTCTTAACCCACTCCAAGTGGAGCTTCCCCTTCCCAAGTCCAGCCAAGTTCCAACTCGGCCTCGTTTTCTTTGTCGCCAAGTTCGATCGCCAAGATCTCATCTGCATCCCGAGCCAGAGCCTCATCGTCTCGCGATGGCTTCGGAAACGATGGATCGCTATGGCATCAGCTTTAGTCCCGAGATCGCGAGCTCCCCTGTGCTAGACGACACAGCGTCGGAACTGTCCTTGCTAACCTGACTCAACTTCGTGCAGCCTGTTACTCAGCAATCCAGCCTGGCGCGGTGGCACAACTATTTCCAACACCGTCATCAGAAATGTCACGGCTTTAACAGTACGTCTGGTAGCTTGCCTTGCTGTTTCGCGGGACTCCTCGTTGACTCGTTGTCAATAGCACAAACTCACAGTTTCGACCCGCATCTCCGAGAACATAACGGTCCTGGCATCCAAGTATGCAGCAACCCAGAATGGCGTCATCCAGGGCCTACTATACGTCCCCGACCTTTCCGAGAAAGACCCTTGTATGGACAATTTGACCGATTACATACCAGAAACCGCTACTCGTCGTGCCCAGCTTCCGCCCGCTAATATCAACCTTATCGCGCTCGTGCCTTGGATTAACGCCCAGTGTGCCCGACACTTCTTGATCTCAGCTCGCCAAGACCCGGTCCGAGGTCTTATCTTCTACAAACCCGACAACTCGACCGACAAACCTCCCAAGGGTAGTTCAGATGAATGGGATCTTGGAGACGGTGGAAAATGGAGAACCCAAGCTGGGTATCCCATCTATGCCATGTCAGGTGCCGCTGGTCAGCAAGTTATGGACCAGTTGAGCTTGTACTCGGGTAACGTGACGGAAATACCTTTTGGTGATAGAATCGCCGAAGTGTATAATTCTAGTCCGGGCGATTTCGTACGAGTATGGACCGAGTTATCGGTTTCGACCGACAACGATCTACCTGGAATATGGGTCTATATCCTGATCATCATTGGTGTTCTCCTGGGCGCTGTTATCGGGATTTCGTTGTTGATGCATTTTATCCAAGCCAGGCGTCGCTCATCCCTGCGCAGACGTGTTATTTCCGGCGAGGTCAACCTAGAACGAATGGGTATCAAGCGACTGAAGGTGCCTATGGAGCTCATCGACACGTTTCCTCTCTTTACTTACCATTACGAGCCGGATAGCATCAGTATGCCAACATCGCCGAGGTCTTTGCGTCCCGATAGGCCCAGGAGAGGCAGTCGAACTCAGTCGGAAGCTCCCACCGCGCAGTCCGTTTCTGGGTTAACCGCGGGCACGATGTCAGAAAAAGCCCCCAGCACCGTTGCGACCGACTATCAGCCAGCATGCGCTATCTGTTTAGAACCGTACCAGAACCGAGTTACGGTTATCCGAGAGATTCCCTGCGGGCATATCTTCCACACGCACTGTATCAACGAATTCCTCAGCGAAAACAGCTCGCTATGTCCGATATGCAAAGCCTGCATGCTGCCCAAGGGGTACTGTCCCAAAATAACCAATGCGATGGTACGGCGAGAACGGGCGGTGCGACGATTACGAGACCGAATAACAGTCGAAGATTCTTGTTCGGAATACGAAATGGTTGATCAAGGAAAGCCGATTCGGGGAGGCAAGGGTCTAAAGAGCCTACTAGGGGGAAGAGGAGATGACTCCAAAGCTACGGATGCAGCAACAATTGCTACGACTCCATCCCGAATGTCAATTGGACAGGCCTCTAGTCAACGCGCCGGTCGAAAGCAACAAAAACAAGTCGGAAACAACAATAATGGTAATGTGCAGGGTGGTAGTCCTCCTGAGCTCGAGAGGAAGCGGATGCGGGAACTGGCTGGCGGCTCTGATATCGACGACGGGGAGTCACAAGCACCAGGCTGTAGGTTGATCGCTCTTTGTTACCCTGAGAGCTCCGAACTGACCAGTTTTGTTACACAGGGGAGAGATTACGACGCAAAGTATTCCCAGGCTTCTAGGTACAGCCGAAGGATATCTGGGCTTCTTTACGCACTTGGTGGACAGGTAGCAACAACGGCTCTTTAGAGCACTTCGAGAAACAAATGAGCGGGTGGCATTACTGGCATCCACCTCCAGTTCTTGGAAAGAGTGGAAGGAGTATGGTATAGGCGATATGGACATGATACCCCTTTTCGCATGTTTTGGCAGATTCACACAAAGGTGACGGGCATAGAGAAGAGCATTTGTACGGTTTTGGTATCGGCGTTCTAATCATTTTGTGGCATTTTGTGTATGGAGACTTGCCTCTACGGAGGATATGAACTGAGAAGCGTTCTGAGAGGACCTCGTAGTAAAATTCAATGGGGTGCACATTGAGGATATGATAATGCACATATTGAGAGAACCAACACGAAGTAACTCAAGTTAATGAAATGTCAAGCATTATCGGGGTGCTCGAGGGTAAACTAGATACGTGATAAAATTAACTAGATACAGAAAAGGATGATGCATTCTACGGGGTATCAATGACGCTGGAATACTGGAATTTGCCGTCTCCTCCTCCTCCACCCCGCCCCCACATTTTTCGCCATCTTCCTTTCATCTCATATGATCACGGTCCATCCTTCCGTCATCTTCGGTCCATAATCATCCCGCCCATATTCATTCCGTCCTTGTCTTGCTTTCGAATCTCTTTCCACAGACCAGTGTGAAAATAGTATCCTTTATCCCATCCTCTGCCACCTCCTCCTCCTCCTGATCACTCCTTTCCCCCTATGTAAAATGCAACGCAGCCGAGCCTCCCTGCCCCCCGTCTTTCCAAAAGAAAATGTAAAATGTAATAAAATGCAATACAATACAATACAAAACGCCTTTTCCTCTCCAAGGAACAAAGAAAGAAGACAATTTAAAGCAAAATGAAATGTGAATGAGTGTAGTGTCGTGTCGTGTCGAGGGAGGGTTGGTCCAGCCCACTGCCTCCGCTCTAAACATGATGGTGTGAATGAGTGTCTCTAAACCCAAACCAATGCTTTCGCTTCCCGTAAATGCATGAAGACAAATGCTTTGGAGTCAGACAGACAAGTAAAGTCAAGAAGGAAAAAAAAGTGTGTATGTCCTCGTAATCCCACCGGGCCGGCCTTGTTTCTCCATCACCCCACCGTTTTCCTCACTGACAAGTGCCAACCAACACTCAACTTCCCCGACACCGGCAGTTACACCCCTCCAAACTCCGCAACGAAACCAGCACAGTACACACACGGGATAGCCAGCGAACTAAAACCTGTTCGGCATGCTACCCGCCCCCGGTACCGACGGTCCGAGCAACCCAGCCGGAGTCTTGGGCGTAGGCGGCACGTACTTAGCGCCCCTCGCCACGGCGCCCAAGTCGGCTTCCTCCATCATTGCCGTGAAGGTCGTTACTGGTCTTGTCTGCTGGTGGTGGGGATCGTGGTTCTCGGGGTTGAAGGGGTCGTAGTCATCGGTGGTATTGGTATTATTTAAATAGGGGTAATTGGAGTTGATGTTGATGAATTTGGAGTACGTGTAATTGGCGTTGGAATTGCTATTGGAGTTGGCAAGACGCTCGGGAGTCAGCGTCCGTGGATCGGCGAACACGTTTATGCTAACTCCGCTGTTTCCGCGCGGGCTGTCTAGTCCGCCTCCGTGACCACCGCCGCCGCTTGTTGCGCCCCAGGGAGTGATGGGTGGTGTGGTGTAGCCGGATCGGCCGCCTGCTGCTGGGGGAGGCAAATTATTGCGGCTGCTGGTTCCGGTGCCGGTGTAGGCTGATGGACCGGGAACGTTACCACTAACATTACGTCCGTGACCACCGTAGGCTATGCTGCTGTCATGCCCCTCGGATGGGGTTTTGGCCCGGCTGTTGTTGCGGCTGTGGTAGTTTGGCGGAGACCCGCGGGGTGGAGTGTCGAAGGGGTTGACGTTGCCTGCTACTGCTCCAAAATCGGAGGTGGGACGGTGGTGCGATTGGGCGGAGACGGAGCGGTTGAAGTCGGTTCGGATGACGTCCTCGGCAACGATGGGGTTGCTGATAATGTTCCCGAAGGAGGACGTCGATCGGTTCAGGCGCGGTTTCTCGTCATGGCCGTAGTGACCGTGACCGGCTCCAGCTCCGGGAACCTTGCCTCTGCGGCGATTCAGAATGCACAAGTAGAGGGTGATCAGGCCGCCGATGATGAAGACGGCAACGCCGGCAACCACGCCAGCGATGATTATTCCACTTCCTCCGCCTTTCCCAGGCCCTTCGTCGTCGTCGTCGTCGTCGTCGTCGTCGTCGTCGTCGGGCTTCCCGCTTTCCACGGGCTTTGCGCTCCCTGCTGACTTGTCACCACTTGCTGCAGGCTTGCCGGTTTCTGTAGGCTTGCTGCTTGCTGTAGGTTTGTCGGTTGCTGTTGGCTTGTCGGTTCCTGCAGGAGAGTCGGTCACAGAGAAAATAGATTTAGATGTTGTCTGGGTGGATTGAGAACTGCTAATTGGCCCTTGAGTTGCTGTCGTCGTTGCGCTTGGCGGTGGCTTGTTATTCAACTCTTGGGGTGTCTTTGACTGATCCGCATCCTTTTGACAGTAACCTTGGGTGTTGCAAGAGTAACCCCATGGACAGCATCTATCAGAACACTGCTTTAAGGGGACATCCAAAACAGTGGTCTTGAGGCCTGCTTGAGGATCCTTCACTGGATCCTGCTTGCTAGTGTCGCAGGAAATCGGTTGTATCATCGAGCAGTCTTGTCCATTTGGGCAGCAAAGAACCGCAGTATTTGCGGCCAAAGGAATGCATGTCGAGTCGGTCGGACAGCAAAAGTTATCAGGCAAACCGGCCTGGGAACACTTTGAGAAGCCCTCGGCCGCACATGTTGATTCTGACTGTCGTTGGAATAGCTGGCTAGCTGGTATGGCTGAGACTGTTGTCGCGCTCAAGGCGACGACTAGTAGTAGTGAGCTCGCTTGCTGTAGTAGTCGCCGCGGCCCCGACATTGTGAATTTGGACTCGAGCAGGGCCGTGCTGAGTAGTCGAGTGGGCGAAGGAGATGTCTTGGGCTATTATGTCGGCTGCAGTCGAGACGGCTCGAAAGATGGGTAGGAACTCTCACTTGTGACCGGCAACGTGGAGAAAGAGAACAAAGGCAAAGAGGAATCAGAAGACTGGAGATATCATGTACGGACGGCGACTTTGTTGCGCCCACAATGCGTTTGAGAGGCTTGACGAGAGGCGGATGAGAAGCCGTAACCCCAGAATAACACAAACAAAGAAAATGACGACGACGTTGACCAGTCAAACGACGAACGGGACAGAAAATCAAGAAAGAGAAGATTGAGGCAAACGGGAGAGGAAGTCAGGAACCGCTTGGTTAAGGTATCTTGGGTATATCGAGAACTTTGGGGCCGGCCCTCTGGCTCATGAGCCCTCGTGTCTGTAACACCTCAACTAGCAGTGTGATAGATGACTGACACATGGACAAGCAAGCATGCGTTTGATTACTGCAAAGAAAAAATCTTCACAGAAAGCACCGGAAAACGCATCATTTGGCCCAATGGATTGGACCAGCGCAACGCTCTCCTCCAACCGCTCTCACCCAAGTTGAATGGGCCCCTGGCGCTATCCAACATGCAAGGAACTACGGGCGCGAATGGGTGAGCCTTGGAACCTCAAAAGGCTTCCCGTCAACGGGACCACGCAGATTGGCATCTGCGGCCCTGGCTATCTGCAACCCCGGGATGGGCATGCCATGGATGCGGGAGCCGAGCGATGGAGCGACGACGGGGCGGCGATGGGGTCATGGTGGTCAGTCACAGTCTTGTCAGCCTGGTCTTGGTCAACGGATTCATGGCAAATTCTGAGATTGGGTGAGTGTGACCGGGCATAACCTAAAGCCCAGACGCTAGATAAGGTGTGGATCAAGGCAGTGTAAAAGGGTCTCGAAGCGTTTCGCTTCTGATCAATTGCTTGGTTGACGTGAAGCGCCGACGACCTGGCGATGAATGATGAGTGGGCGAATGAGTGGCAGATGGAGTGTTTGGAGTTGTCAAAGTGAAGATGACAAGATGCAGCTTGGTTGGCCCATAATGATTTTCCCGTCCGCGCCTATGTTACGCTAACAGGGACCCACTGTTAGGTTCATCCAGGGGTCACTTGATCACTGAGCGTCACTGAAAATAGAGACGGCGACTAGACTCACAAAGGCCTAGCGCCCGCTCGCCAAGCGCCGGGTGCCGGCTTGAATACGGAGCGGACCAGCTACCATGCACGGGCCACACGGAACTTGTCTCGGACCAAGTACGGGACGGGGACACTACCTTCCTTCGATTCTACTGTGGAAACTCGACATCGATGGCCCGGAGCCTCTAACCATCCGATACCATGCGGAGTGCATGCGGAACAATCGACTGTCCGATGGCCACACTACGTATACTCAATGTCACACATCGATATTGATCGAGCGGATCTCGAGTCCGCTCGCTCTCAGTTTGATGCCATGAGTTGAGGCACGTTATAATTGAAAGAAAACAGATTGACAGTTTTACCAAGCCATGAGGCTCACTATGGCGGCCGCTCGACTATGCACGTTACCAACTCATTTTCGATCTTTAAGCCTCATGAACATCCAAAACACCGAACTACCACTGTCAAAACGCCGCCGGTCATTCGGAATCATACTGCAACAATGATGATTACAAATGCCCTTTTTTGTTTGTCATTCCTCCACCCATTTGCGCTGTTCGCAATACCTCCACCTGATTTTGCACCATGATCACGACATCACCGCCTCTTCGAAGTCATGATAACATACAGTTGCGAGAGATCATAATCAAAATGGCCGAGTATAAAAGCTCACAATCGCCGATATCACGGGAATGAAATTACCATACAATCCGAACACTCGCAGCATTACTACAACCCGTCAACCGTTCTGACCCAGATACCAATCCAAAATGACCACCACCAAAACAATCCTCATCACCGGCTTCAACCGCGGTCTCGGCCGCCTCCTCCTCTCCTCCTACTCCAGCGTCCCAACCACACCGTCATCGCCGCCGTCCGCAACCCCTCCCACCCGACCTCGCAATCCCTTTCGAGTCTTCCCGTCCACCCCTCCGGCACGACACGCTTGATCATCGTCAAACTCGACCTGAACGTGCGCACCGACCCGGCTGCCGCCGTCAAGGAGCTCGCGGAGAAGCACGACATCAACACCATCGACGTGGTCATTGCCAACGCCTCGACGGGATACATATGGCCGAAGGTCAGGGAGGCCGAGGTGGATGATATTAGGGCGCATATGGAGACGAATGTGTTTGGGTTTGTGGAGTTGGTGAAGGGGCTGTTGCCTGTTTTGGAGAGGACGGCCGCGAAAAAAGGGGAAGGGGAGGGAGAGGATAAGGAGGTGGTTTGGGTTACGATTGGAAGTGGAGGGGGGTGGTTGAATGTGAGTTATTCTTCCTTGGTTTGCTTCTCTCTCTTCTCGGTTCCAAGACTTTGGACTCAGTCAGGGTCGGAGTGACATTACACCTGGGAAGAACTTGAGGATGATGATGGAGTGAGGATTTACGGAAGAACTGGAAAGGGTTGATGATTGCCGGTTTGCTTCCTTGCTAACTGGTATGCAAACACAACACAACAGAACCCTGCCGCTGCCGCCGTCCCCAACGCAGCGTACGGTGTTACGAAAGCGGCCCAACATTACTTGACCAGGAAACTGCATGACGAGGAGCCGTGGTTGACCTCCTTCTCTATTGACCCTGGGTGAGCCACTTACTTGCCTACCTACTACCACTTATTCTTTCTAGGATTCGTTTCTTAGCATCGGCAATACCTGGACATTGGCTAACACGATTACCGTCCGAAACAGCTGGGTCAGAACCGAGATGGGAAACGCTGGGGCACGCGTGCTGGGCCTTGAAGAGGCGTATGGTGACCCGGAGGAAAGTGCTAAGGGCATGCTGAAGGTCTTTGACGCTGCTACGAGGGAGACGCACAGTGGGAAGATGTGGACGGCGGAAGGCGAGACTGTTTTGTTTTAGAGAGTTTGATGGTTGATTAAGGGAGAAGGTAGATTTCATTTTCGGTATCTGGTCCCATATCTTACATTGTCACTGTGTATCGGCAGTGAGAGATGGTTTGGTATGTTCAATAACCTGCCGTGGTATGGCTCGAGAAAGCAATTCAAAGTGATCAGTCACGATGACTCCGATCCTCGTACATTCATGACGATCGTGGAGAGATGAAGAGGTCACTTTGATTACTGGCAACGGACTACGCTTTCAAATTATTGAATCAACCTAACTTTAGTGTCCTGTCCTCCATGGCCAACATTGCTCGGCTTATAGTAGCCATTAAAAAGAACAACCTCACGAGGACGCTGAAGAGTAAAACCCTCAAACATCTACTTGCTGATAGATACCCCCGCTATCTAGAACCGACAATCTTGGATTGCTGGTTCTAGGTGGCTGCCTCTGATTGTTATTACTTCTATCACGTAGAAACGCTTGCAGGAAAGGATATGAAAAGACGACGAAGTTGATGAGACCAACTAACCGGACTTTGTGTCGTGCTTGAAGATACCCTTCGTGAGCAGGCCGTGATTGAAGCCCTAATGAGGCCCGGAAAGAGCCCCAGAATGACTTCATCCATCTAAAATGACTGTTCTCACCTCAGTTTCATGCATGCATCATTTCGCCTCACCGACAACTATCACCTTGTACTGTCCTCACGGATCTCGCCGCTCGCTCGGAGACTTGGCCGCTGGCCGACCGACCACCAGACCGTCACGGTATCATTGCCATCCGGACAAGTGTGGACGGCCCGTTGTTGAGGCCCGGTTGCCTCTTTCCCCTGAATAGGTAGGTTCTGGCTGCTACTCGTCTGGGCTAGAAACACCTCAGACCCCATGCTGGCGCATGGGGTCTGGCAGGGCGATTAGCCAATATCAAGGCGATTAGCAAATTTTTATATACATTAACCGCCTGCAAATTTACTAGCAAATCGAGGTAGCCCGGTATAGCTGCATATCGTAAAATAAGGTGAAGGTATTCGCAGATTGATTCCTCACTCCACAACGTATGCATCAAAAATGTAAACGCGCTAGATTGTTTGCCTCGTTCCTCTCTATCTGGTGATAATTTTATTTCTTTTCATATCTTTAGTTTTGGTGGTGCAAATTGAATTACAATACGATTTTATCGTTTTTGAACATTCGGGAGCCTTCTAACATGTGAATAAAATGCGCACGTGCCTTCTTAGATTACTGCATATCCATCGCACTGTACATATGCTAGTAAATCCTAGTTAGGTGATTACCGTATTCCTGTCTGTTGTTAACCCACCCGGCAGTCAAGTCGTTAAGCTTGAGGATGAGGTTTATGAGGATGAGGATGGGGATGAGAATGAGTAATGGGAGGGTTTTGCTGATGATTATGATGATTATGAGGATAACAATGAGTATGAGTAACGATTTTGTACGATAATCACGATATTTCAGAGTACTAAAACACTATGAATAGATGTGGCGATGCAGCACGGTAGTTAGAATTGAGAAATTTGACTTCCTGACTTATATGCAGTTATGCAACAAAATGGTGGTACCTCCATTTGCTAGCGATTTGGGTGGTGGGGAATGTACTTAAATTTTTTTGCTAATCGCCTTGATATTGGCTAATCGCCCTGCCAGACCCCATGCGCCAGCATGGGGTCTGAGGCGTTTCTAGCCCAGACGAGTAGGTCCACTCTATGCCTGGGTGTTGAAAAAAGGATGTACTGTGGTGGCGGTAGGAATGGGTGGGCAAGTTGAAGTCAACAGTAAGAACAATGCGAGAGTGTCCAAAGCCCGTCCCTTCAATCCTTCCTTGTATTTTTATTTCCATTCCCCCAGGGGCATCCTACCAAGTGCAAAGTAGAAGGAAGGTGGTGGAAAGAAGGCAAAAGCCGGAGTGCTCCTGCTCCCGTACCCGAACAATCTCTTGGCATTCATCACACCTCCCACCTCTCATCCCGTCCCACCTGCCGCTAAGCGCCGAGTTTCCTTTTCTGCCACTCATTCATCCACACAGATCCCCCCGTCTTTTTGGCTACGCGCGCGAAGCGTTCTTCGGCGGCTAACGTTCTCACTCTCACAGTCTCACGGCCTGCTTGTCTCGCTTCCTTCCTTGCTACACACCCTCCTGAGTCCTGACAGATCCCCCAAGTTCCATTGTCACTTACGCCAAGTAGATCGCACACACACAGCCACTTTTACTCATGTGATGTGACTGGGCTCTTTAGGCTTCTGACGAGGGTCTGATGGGGGTCCGATTGATGAGACGGGGAGTCGCACTCACTCTGCTGATCTCTTACCAAAAACCGAAGGTAGTTCGTGACTATGATGGTTAGAAGGGTTAGAAGGGTCAGAAGGGGTTCGCCTCTGGCGGGCTCTCCGATGTTGGACTTCTGTGATGGCAAAAGAAGGTCGTTGTAATGGGTCTTGTTGGGTTGGAGTTCATGCTCTTGCCTCAATGAAAGATCAACGTTCTCTTCGGGCTCACCTAGCGTCGTTGATCGGGCTTCATCGGGCTGTGATCGTGGTATCGGATGTTTCGAGGTGAAATATTTGAGGCCTAGACAGGCTTGAATGACATCAAGACGTATAATCACGGTGGTCTGAGAAGGTGACAAAGGTGGTTGTAATTTTGCTTTTCTTCATTCCCCCCTATTACGGGCATGCCTAACTAACTAAATAGCTAGTTAGCTGATTCCCAATCTAGATCTGTTTCTCCGAGAGCCATGCTTCTGGATCCAGATCCAGAATGCGGCGGCGGACTCTTTTTCCCTCCCCCTTTCCCCAGTCTCTCCTGATTCCCCCCATGTGTGGTTTCTGTGGGTTTTCTGGTTTGTCGTTGAGTGAAATGCACACCAAATGTCGCCAGATGGTCAGAATCGTGCACTACTCAAGAACGGCATCATATCTAGTGACTGAAAAAGAAAAACAATCTGAACGTTTGAGAAGAAGTGAAAAACAAAGGTATCGAAGGGTCATGAATCGTCGTAAAATCGTGAGAAGTAAAACCAAGAATTCCCCAGTTCCTGAAATCCCACACCGGATCAAGTGCTATGTGTTGATATCATAGACTGACCGTACACAACCTAACCTGTATCTACCAAGTTCACCCCTTTTTACACCTCTCATTCCCTTCCCTTTCTTCGGAGAAAACAAAAGGCACAACAAATCACACGCAGAGAATATAAAACGCCGTTGAATGTTGCTCAAGAAAAAAAAAAAAAATGCAAACAAAAAAGCCATTCAACGGCACAAAGTGGTATCTCAAGGTATTCCAACCATTCTGTTCCAAGACATAAGTAAAAGAAGAGAAAGAAGCGAAGGTTTGAGGTGAGAGTGTTTTGAAGAGACAAAAAACAGGATGTGAACACCCTGGGAAAGAACGAAAGGCGGGTATAACAGCGAAGAAAATGAAAACAAAGAAAAAAAGAATCAACTCAAATCATGCTGCCGTTGACAACAACCTCAGCTCCCTCACCCTTCTGTTTGAGCGCCTTAGCCAGCATCAACTCCCTCATCCAGTCAATGCGCTCATCTCTGCTCTTGACAGCAAAGTGGTGCATCTTTCCGGTGCCGTTAACGGCGCCTTGAATAGCGCTGGCCCCGTTAGCCGCGGCCGCAGACGACGCCGAAGGCCCAGGGATGCTGTTCTCGCGCTTGCGCAACTGCCCCTTGACGGCGGCCTTGCCGTCCTGAGGAATCAGCTGGAAGCTAAAGGCAGCAATGTCATCCTTGGAGTGGGCGTCGCCGGAGCCGCGGCGGATGTGCATGGCCTTGAAGGCGGCGTTTAGCTTGGAGGTGTTGGCGTTGCTGCTGCAGGCGATGGCATAGTCGTCAATGTCAATGTACTCGAGCGTCTTGTTGTTGGCCGTGGCCGCGTCCTTGTGCATGGTCAAACGGGTGCCGCGGAGCTTGAAGTAGTGCTCGTGCCACTCGTGGCGGAGCATCTTGGTCTTGCGCTTCTTCATGAGACCTTGGTAGGAGACGGCTTCGCCGTTCGTCATGTCTTCCGTGGGCTGGGTGCTCGTGGGAGAGAGACGACTTCCGCTGCTGGGGCTGTTGCTGACTCTATGGCTGCTTTCGGTAGGGCTGGTGCCGGCACTCTTGCTTGGGGCAATGACTGCCGAGGAGCCAGGCATGGGAGCGATGGCACGCTCAAAGGTGGTGCGGTTGGTCTGGCTCCATGGGTATTGCACACGGGGAGGGGGCTGCAGAGGGCGCTGTGTTTGGGTGGTGGCTCTCTGAGAGAAAGACTTGTTCTGTGGTTGCACGGCAGTGAGGGGTGTGACGATTTTGTTCTCATCCAGCGCAGGCATGACAGGGAAGGAGGGCCGACGGATAGTGGCGCGAGACATAGATCGCGGAGGGGCAGGGTTATGGCGGTAGTTCATGTCAGGCGGAACTGACTGGGAAACATCTCGAGAGATGATGGGGATGGAGGTCATGGTGACCGGAACATCCATCTCGGAGAAGGGGGTACCGAAGCGGTATACGCCAACCGGAGTCGCTTCTTCGGAAGAAGCAGAATGGTCGCTCATCTCACGGAACGAAGGAATTACCTGCGATTGACGACGAGCAGATGTTGCACGAGCCGATACAGGTCCAGCTACAGCGCCACCCTCATTAGGGATTGCTAGCTTAGGAAGAGCACGCAACCTCGCATGAGGACCTTGAGCTTGCTGCTGGGGGTATAGCTCGAACGGAGGTGTTGGGGGAACCTCGCTCGAGCCGACCGCATGGTGGTTCTGGAAGTCAAGGAATTGACGAACGTTGTCTTGGGGATCCCGCGAAATGACATTTCGCAGGGTAGCTTCCTGGAGATACTGTAGAGTTGGTTGATCTCCAGGTCCCATAACGTCCGAGGATGCCACAACCGACGGGATGGCGTCAGAGACAGGACGAAAGGGGTCGATAGCCTCAGCCGTCTGCGGGTTTCCGGGATTACCCGCGACCATAATGAAACCTCCTTCATCAATGTTGACAAATGGGTGG